AGGAATTAAGCTTAGCAGGTCTGATAGCTGCTCTTCAATCTTTTTTGTTATTGAAATCACATTCTCATTGAGAAGTGCATCTTAAAAGCATACGAGGGATTGTCCTTCAGGCTGTGATCTTCAAGGTCTTCCTGCCATGAAGCATGGACATTTTGGATAACAATGCATAGCTGTACTCTCAAGAACACAAAAAAAGCTCCCACCTTCATGTTCCCTCCTTCTTGTAGCTATACGTATAAAGCAGTCTTTTTGTCCTAGAGAGGGTGAAGCCTGACTGCTCATTGGAGTCAAGGATTCTGAAGCTTCGTCTGACATACTTTGGGTATGTTGCAAGGAGGGACTGGTCCTTGGAGAAGGACATCATGTTTGGGAGAGTGGAGGGACAGCACAGGAGAGGAAGACCCTTGATGAGATGGATCGATTCTGTGAGTGGAGTGGTGGGAATGAGTGCGTTTGAGACGGTGAGGTTGGCACAGGATAGAACAGCGTTTAGGGCTCTTGTACATAGGGTTGCTATGAGTCGCAAGTGACTTGATGGCACATAACAACAACAACAACAACAATGGACAACAGGATAGTAAATGAAGTCTACATGGCTGTGTTAACTCTAAGAACTTAAAGTTAGAGATTACGTTTGTTTAAAGTGAAGAGAAGAAAATGGTGTTCTGGATCAGATAGCCTGTATTTTAATGGTCAAGAAACCTTCAAGGAAATCTCTCTGCAGCCCCAGATCCCAGTAGTAAATTTTGTTAGGTGCCTCAAGCTTAGTATGACACATAACAACACTATCAACCATCAGATCTGAACCCTGTCTTATTCTGTGTCATCATCACTCATATCTCCTGGCACCTTGAAGCTCATTGCAGCAGTCAGCATGTCAGTCTACCTGTTTGAGGGTCTTCCTCTCCTTCCCCAACTCTCTTTCTTTCCCAGCATCATATTGTCTCCAAGGAATAGCCCTTACTAGCAACATGCCTTAAGTATGTGAGGCAAAGCCTCATCAATTTTGCCTCTAAACAGCACTCGGGCTGCACCCTTTCCAAAACATATTTGCTTGTTTTTATGGCTGTCCGTGGGATGTTCAGCACTCATTTCCAACACCACAGTTTATAGGCATCAATTCTTCTTCTGTCATCCTTATTCATTGTCTAGCTTTCAGATGCATAGCAAGAGATCAGAAAGATCATGGCTTAAATAAGACAAATCTTGGCCCTCAAATGGACATCATTACTCCTCAATAATTTGGAAAAGTCCCTAACTGTGGATTTTCCCAGTGTGGTGCATCTCTTGATTTCCTGACTCCTGATACCAAGGTTGCTAATTGTGGATTCAAGTAAGGTGAAGTTGTTAACAGTTTCAATCTTTTCTCTATCATAATGTTGCCTATCAGTCCAGTAGTGAGAAACTATGGCTTCTTGATGTTGAGATGCAATTCATAGTGAAGACTCTGATCCTCTGCAAAAAGTGCTTCAAGTCCTCTTCACTTTCAGCAAGCAAGATTGTGTCATTTGCATACTTCAGGTTATTGATGAGTCTCCCTCTGATATCACATTCCTCTTGACAGAATCCAGTTTCTCGAATAATTTGCTCAGCATGAGATTGAATAGATACAGAGAGAATATAACCTTGATGCACTGCCTTCCTAACTTTAAACCTTCCTCTTTTCACACAACAGATTGCTTGTCTAGGTGTAGATTTCACATGAGCACAATTACATGTTCAGGGATTCCCTTTCTTCTCAGAGTCAGTCAGTTTGTTGTGATCCACACAGCCTTTGTATAGTCAATGGAATAGATAGACATTACTCTGATACTCTCTGCTTTCAGCCAAGATCCATCCATCAGACATTAGCTATAAAATCTGTAGTGTCACAGCCTCTTCTAAATCCAGCCTACACTTCAGGCAGTTCTCCATTGTGCTGTTGCAGTCATTTTTAGATAATCTTGAACAGAACCTTGTTTGCATTTGATATCAATAATACGGTTTGATAATTTCCACACTCTGTCAGATCACCTTTCTTTGGAATAGGAGCAAATATAGATCTCTTCCAGTCAATAGGCCAGGTGGTTATCCTCCAGATTTCTTGGCACAACTTGGTGAGCACATCCAGGGCAGTGTCTGTTTGTTGAAGTATTCCAATCGGATGCCATCAATTCCTGGGGCCTTGTCTTTTGCCAAATTTTTGTGAGGTTTTGGTTTGGTTTTTTGTTTTTCAATTTTTCTTGACTTTATTGTGGTATTTACTTTATAAAAAGACATTAAAAACCTTCAATTTTTAAAGTGACTGTAGAATGCGTTCTATAATCCCTGTAGGATGTCTCACTTGTTTCAACATTACAAAATATATTAAGGACAGTACTCTGAAAAGCTGCATCAGACAGTGTATCTTTTTTCTCCCTCATATTTAGCTTTGTGATACTTCTGATAATCATTGTATAGTTCTTTAAAAACATGTCTCACTCCTGGATGCAATGAACTCCTTAAGAATTAGATGTCTCATTCAAGATAGAGGTCCAGGATAAGATAAATACCTTCAGAGCAGCTTGAACTTTTTTCCCTTCATCACCACAGGCTCTTTCTCATGCACATGAAATTCTTCTGTGTCACCAATTCCTTTGGTACAATGACTCTGTATACTCTTTTCATCTTTTTTTAATGCTTCCTGGACCATTTAATATTCTGCTCAAAGTATCCTTAAGTATTGAAACTCGAGGATTGAATTTGTTCTTCCTCAACTTAAGTAAGAAATGGGAACTAGGGAAGTGGAAATTGATATAATTGCTCTAAACACTTTCCTAAAACGGAATATACTTACCCTCTATTATTAAGCATTTCCATTTTTAGATAAATGGCCTACAAATATATTTGAACATGTACAAGAGTCATGAATGGAAAAGAAGATTAATAAAGTAAATGCCCAAGTTACACACCGTATTCTACTTCTTAAGATAAATAGAACTATCGAATGGATTGAGAAATTATGGTACATTCACACAATGGAATACTATACAGCATGCAGGAACAATGTTTTTTTAATTTACTACTTGAGAGGGAATGGAGAGCATTATACTGAGTGAACTAACTCAGTCCCATAAGGACAAATACTGTATAAAATCATTATTTTAAAATGAGTATAAGAATCCAAAGTTGGGGGGTGGGAGCAGAAGAATGAAGATAGGTTGGGAGAGGAGTTGATCATAGGGTCATACAATCTGATGGCTGGGAGTGGGATGAAGGAAATGGGAAAGAAACAGGGAGAAAAACAATGTATTTGAACTTTGTAACTAAACCAGTATTAAAAAAAAAAGATAAATGGAATGCTCAGAGATGTTTTCCACTGTCATAATGCTTACATAGATGTTATTTATTTTGTTTGTATAAATGTTTCACCAACTGGAATTGACTCCATGGCAACTAATAATAACAGCAATAACAAATATTTTATCATTTTAGAGCCTACTATGTCTACATTTCATGATTCTTTACTATGATTTTAACAATCTCTTAAAGAATGAGAATCTGAATGTTTATAAATTAAGGCACTGGTATAAAAAAGAGAAACATGATACTTTTAGCTATACTAGCTCACTTATTTTTTTTTAACAATATTGAATTTTTCTTGCAAACGGGCCAGACAAGGATGCCCACTGTCATCATTTCTTTTCAATATTGTATTTTTTTAAAATGTTGAAATATACTCAGACATATATATTGTTTTGGAAAAAATGCTGATGAGCCCTGAAAATCAATGTATAAAATCACTACTATGCTCACAAAAGTGTTGGTTTGTTGGTTTTTTAAAAAATATCATAATGGAATTATACTAGGTTTGATTTGGACTAGAAAAGCACACAAGGAAAAAAAATGTAAATACCCGCCCTCATACACATACAGTTATTTCAGTTCATTTTCTTTTACTCTTTTTCATATCCTAAATAGAATCTGGCATAATATCAGTTAATTTTTGCAGCCATTTGAGATACACTTTTGTTGGTTTTGATTTTTGGCTTCCCCCGCCCCAAAGAAGTCCTTGAGGGTCAGTTCAGTGTGGAATTTTGAAAAATTAGCAAAAAATCCAGCTCATTTATGTGAAATCAATAGTGTGCTTAAATACAGTGTAAAGTATTGCAATGCAAGAGCTTAATTATTAATTTTATATTATAGGAAGGGGTCGGGATGCACCTATTTATTCTTGGATTATAAGAAAAGATCTTTCTGGCTCATTTTTCAATCAAACCTTATGCAAATTTGAGGTGTTTTTACTTTATGATGTTCGAATTTCATCCTGTAAATTTCAAGAATTTTCACTATTATTTAATCTCAAGAAATATATCCTTACACTTCTTACCTTACAACCCTCAGTTTTCATTTTCTTAAGCATATTTCTCTTTCTATTTTGGTAGGTGAAATAAGGAAAGGAGGATGCGTATAATAATATTAGTAAATTGATTTTCTAGAATCAAGTCCATTTTGCTGTTGGACAGTACTCTCGTGACAGATAACTAAATTGAAATGTCACCACACATTTAAATTCAAATATATTGAATATAAATAATGGAAATAACATAATTACCCTTGTATATTAATTATTTGAAAAGTATTGATTGGCTTTGACGTATGCTTCTTGGCCAGCAATGACTGACTGTTAACAGTTTGCAGTCTGAAAATAAGGCATCTGGGAAATCGCTGAAATTTTCAAAGCAGAAAATGCTGAAGTCAACAACTTTTTCTTGAGAAGAATTTGCTATTATTGCATATTATACAGTTATGGTGCAGAAGGTACAGTGTTTGATTCAGAAAGATTTTTTCTCCTTCTTTGTAAGTATATACATAATCTCATCTCAGTGAGTAGAACAGAATAAAAAAAAAAACAAACCAACAAACGACAACCCCCCCAAAAAAACCACGACAACAAACACTGTATATATCTTAAGGCCTTTCCTTAATCTTCTCAATGTTTTAAAAGACATTTGATCTCGCTTTTCTTTCTCTTTCTCTAGGATAGTTTCCCAGCACGATTTGGAGGAATTCATTTTGTCAACCAGCCGTGGTACATCCATGCCCTCTACACCGTGATCAGGCCTTTCCTGAAAGAGAAGACTCGAAAAAGGGTATTTGTTTGTGGCTTTTCTTACTCTCCTTTCCCCTATATCCACTGGATCATGAATGATAAATGTCTGTATAATATTGGTGATAGTGAAATGGCCTAGAATATTGTATATACATATGAGGTATCAAAGGTATTTTAAAAGTTTTGTGATTAATTTTCAGTAGTGTGTCTGTGATAGAAACATGTACATACACACTTACTCACCTTTCTTACAAAAGGGGAAAATGCTTTAGCATGCCCATTATATGAGAAAAAGCATTAAATTATAAAGAAAAAATCCTTTATGCATTTTTACTATATTGTTATTGGTACACTTTCTAGGGAAAAAAACCCAGTTTCCCTATGCTTATAAATGGTTAAAATGTAAAACCAAACAGAACACACACATACAAAAAATCCACGGCCTTAGAGTTATTTCTAATTCAAAGCAAGCTGCTGACCTTTAAATCTTTATTGGAGAAGAGGCCCATCTTTCTCTCACTGATGGATTTGCACTATCAATCACGTGGATACCAGCCTGGTAAGTTATACATATAACAACACATCTCCTTAAATGAGTATTACTCATTTCAAAATACGTTATACTAAATATGGTGAGTTTTGTGATAGTTGATATTATTGATAATTGCTGCCGTGATTAATCACACTTGAGGAAAGAATATCAATGTATAGAAAGGACAGGGCTCAACACTGAAGAAGAACATTGAATATGGAAAAAAACCCACCACTCCAATTTCCTAAGGATTAGATAATTTTCTAATTGAATGACACTTCGTAAGTACTGAACATATTTTTCATTATTATTAATGATAAGGGTTTCAACAATGCACTTTAATCTATATTATCTCATTTAATCCTCAAAAAAGGTCTGGTAGATAAATGTAGTAAAAATTAGCTCCTATTTCAGAGTTGTGGAAAGCTAGTGTTAAAATGGGTAAGTAGCTTGCTTACTGACATACACAGCTGTACAGTTGTAGAGCTGATACATAAGCCCCAATCTTCCAGATTTACTTTAAATGTGAAGCTATTTTTAATACTCCGTGCTGTTTCCAGTTTTAGAATGATTAATTCCACAGTAAAACATACTTCTAAATCTATTTGGAAGATAATTTCTCTTGTTTCTCAGAGGCAGAGGGCACACTTCATGTACTTCAATGTTGTAGGAACCTAATTGCGATGAGAAAGTAGATTTAATTATGAGTCCATATTAAACATCAGTGAGCAAAAATGTTATTTTATATGAATGTGTTGGAGACCTTCCAGTGGTCTTGAAGGAAGGCTTGTGTAAGTAATCAGTTTATGTTAAGAATTACTTCTAATACTGTGAATAAAATAAATTCATATTTTCAAATTCAGAAAATTCATTGGAGTGCCTCACAAATAGTACCTTCAAACTTTGTTTTATGAAGAATTGAGCAGGTGATCCAAAACACCTGCTGGGGCTTTTAGTACAAATTATACTAGCAAGTGCTTATGTACTATTCACTCTAGTATTCATGCTGTTTTAAGCATTTTACATATGTTAACTCATTTCCTCACCAAAGTGCTTTGGGGTATGAATTGTTATTTTTCTCATTTTGTAGATAGCAAAGTGAACACAGAAGGTTAGGAGATTTGCTCAGAATCATAGATAGCAGGATTGGATATATGCATATAATGCAGTTCTTGGTAGAATGGGGAAGGCACAGATCCTTACACATATGCATGCCTGCTGGCTTTAACCAACATCAAGGAAGCCAGTGTAGCTGTAGTACAGTGAACTATGGGGAAAGTTGACAGGAGACAGGAGAGGGAGAAAGTGTGGTGGGTTAGATCCTAGAAGGCATGTATGTCATTGCAAGGATCTGAAATTCCAAAGATTGATGGAAGGCCTTGGAGGCTTTTGGTATATTAATAACACAAAGTGATTATGTTAACACTTCTTGAGTGGTGCAAGCTTACTGGTACATTCAAATTATAACAGAAGGTTAGAGGTTAGAGTCTACCTACAGGTCTGTAAAGTATCAGGCCAGTAACTGAAGGGGCAGCTGCTCAAATCTGCCAGCTTCTTCGTGGAACCTTCAAAACCTGATGGTTGTTGTTGTTGTTGTTATGTGCCGTCGAGTCTTTTGTAACTCATAGCAACACTATGTACAACAGCCCTAAACCCTGCTCTATCCTGTGCCAATCACACTGCCTCTGACACACCCATCCCGATTACCCCAGTCACTGAATCAATCCATCTCGTAGAGGATCTTACCCTCTTGCGCCGACCCTCCAGCCTTTCAAGCATGATGTCCCTCTCCAAGGATCTGTCCCTCCTTGCAAAATGCCCAAAATATGTCAGACAAAGCCCCAGAATCCTTGCTTTAACCCTCTCCAGGATAAATCTGTTTGTTTTCTTGGCAGTCCATAGTACATTCAATACTCTTCTCCAGCACTTCAGCTCAAAGGCATCAATTCTCCTTCTGTCCTCTCTAGTCATTGTCCAGCTCTCTGATGCATAACAAGTGATTGCAAAGACCATGGCCTGTTATCAGGTGCACCTTAGTCTCCAGAGAGACACCGTTGTTCTTGCGTACTTTAGAGAGGTCCCTAACAGCACTTTCCCATCGCAATACGTTTTTTGATTTCCTGACTGCTGGTGCCAAGAGTGTTGACTGTGGAGCCGAGCAAACTGAAGCTGTGGACAATCTCAATCTCTTTGCCATCCATCCTGATGCTACCAATTGGTCCAGTGGTGAGAATCTTTGTCTTCTTGACATTGAGCCTCAGTCCATACTGAAGGCTGTAGTCCTTGACCCTCTGCAGCAAGTGCATGAGGTCGTCCTCAGTTTGAGCAAGCAGGGTTGTGTCATCTGCATAACGCAGATTGTTAATAGATCTTCCACCAATCCCGACGCCACAATTCTCCTCATAGAGCCCAGCCTCTCAGATAATCTGCTCTGCATAAAGGTTGAAAAGGTATGGAGATAGGACACATCCCTGGCGTATACCCTTCCCAATTTTAAACCATGCAGTGTTACCCTGCTCTGTTCTGACAACTGCCTCTTGGTCCAAGTATAGGTAGGTTACTATAGAAAGGCCTCAAGAGCAATGGATTTATGGGCCACTTGGGAGAGAGGTCTGCCAATTCACTTGTTGAAAAATCGGAACTTGAAAAACCATTATTTTAAACCAGTCATACTCTGTTATGCTTATATATTATACTGTGATACATCTGGTGTCAATTTGAGTCAGACTTACCTCTTTTTTCCAAGTGCTTTGTTGAAATAACAATTGCAAGGATTACAACTATAAAACAAAGAGTACACTGGATTTGGTGGTTTTTAATTAGATTTGATTATTTTGACAATGTTTGTTGTTGTCGTATGCCGTCAAGTCAGAACCAGTCCATAGCTGATCCTCCAGGAAGTTTTCAGAAACAGTAAATAGCACGGGAGAAAACTGTCCATCCATCTCCTGTGGAGCAGCTGTTGGATTTGAGTCATGTGCCTTTGGGATTGCAGCACAATTTCTTATAACTGGACCACTAGAGCTCCCTTTGACAATGCCTAAAAGCATGTATTCCTAGTGTTATTCTAGAAGAAAGAGATCTAAAGATGTCACCATTTTAGTTAAAACTCTATGATTTGGAAATCTTTACATGGAAATGTGATAAAATATTTTCAAAGTTTTATTTAGTTTTTCCATAATGTAAAACAACTATATTTCCATTCTTTTTGTTTGTATTTCTTTACTGTTCTAAGTGACCCAGCACCAGAATATGACTCAAACGTAGGGGGCTTCAGATGTGAGCAATCTACATCCAAAGGGAAAGAAAATGGTAAAAGAAAAAATCTTAGGAGCAGTTGTAAATTTTATCCATAAATTCATATGTACAAAAAAAAATCTATTTCTTAATTTTGATTAATTAAATTCAACCTAACTTTGAGTCTCTCTCACCAGTGATGGCTTTCTGGTAACCTTATATTAAATACTAATAATAATTTTTAAACTAAGGTCTCCTGCTTTCAAACAAAGAAAAAAGATAAATTATCTTCTAAAGCTAGAACTCAAAATTAAACTTCTACTCTCTCAACTGGCTTCTTCAACTCTGCTCTTGCCATCCCCAGGGGCTTACTAGGAAACAAGTGCCTCTATTAACTAGTACAGGTTTTCATATCTGTCTCAATATAGCAGACTCTATCTTCTACCCCTTGTAACTTCTAAAAAAATTACTTTCATTCTTTTCCACTCTAGATTTCCTTGTATCAAAAGGCAGGAATAATTTAGAATGTTATTGTTGTTGCGTTGTACCATCCAGTTGGAAGTGATCCATAGCTGACCCTCCAGTTGGTTTTTAGAGGTAATAAATGGCAAGTGAGGTGAGTTCCCATCTTCCTCTCATGGAGCAACTGGTGGATTTGAACCAATGTACCTTTGGGATGGCAGTGTATCTCCTTACTACATGGCCACCAGAGCTCCTTTCTTTCAGGATGATACTTATAAATAGAGGTATTATAAGGCAGAGGAGCCCAAGAGAAATAGTTCTCCATGACATGGTGCAAAAGGGAAAAACTAATAAGGGAGGGGGAAAAAAACAATCTAAGGTTTTAATAGAGGATACCACTACAAAAAAATTGATCAAATATAGGACAATATAAAAGCACAAATTTAATAATTAGCCATATTTAGTGTATTCTTACTGCTTTATCCAAAAATTCATTAGGTTGGCAAGTTAGAGTATGAGAGTAGTTAAGGATGTCTCCAGGGTGTTTGGTCTGAGAAGCTGGGAACATAATAAAACTTAACTGAAGATGAAGAAAGAAAAGAATAGATTGAGAAGAGTATGAGTTCAGTTTTAGACATACTAAGTTTGAGGTATCCTTTGAGTCCTAATAAAGGGGAAATGTCACATAGAGTATAAAAATATCAATATAGAGTTCCAGAGTTCTAGATACATGCTATACATTTGTTAGTGCATGCAGATTATTTAAATGAACAAGACTGAAATTTTGAAAAAGTGAGTACAGCTAAAGAAAGGAGTTAATCCATATGTTTTAGCTACTCAAATTTAAGTTGTTGGAGTGATACAGAATAATCAGCAAGAAAGACTAGCATAACTATCTCATGATGTCAGAGGGAACTGAGAGCCTCTGCTATCTTGGAAGTCAGTAGAAAATTTCTTCAAGAGAAGAGTCATTTACTATAGCTGGTGCCACTGAGATTTCATGAAAAATGACAATTGAGAATTGAATCCTGCGTTTAGCAAAAGAATGATTTAGACAAAAAATGGGTTTTTGTCTGGTTTTGCTGAGGTGAGGGCAAAATTTACTTCATTAGATTTAAGAGAAAAGGAAAAACATATTTGAACAATAGCTGAAGACAACATTTTTAATGTAGTTTGCTCTAAAGGGAAGGCAATGGATTTATAGGTGGAGATGAACATACATCCAAGAGAGGTTTGTTATGTGTGAATAGGGTAGAGGGTGCTGCCAGTGTGTGTGTTCTCTGATGAGGGAGATACAGCACGGAGAGGAAACAGATGATAAAAGAGACACAAGAGAATAATTGCTTAAGAAATGGAACTGAGTAGAGAGAGAGAATGGATTTCAGTGCCTAAGTGAAGTTGGCTTCTATAGAGTTTCTCTTTCCATTGTACTGGAAGCAAATGTGAAGTATATGAGAACAGTTGTTGGCAGTTGGGAATTATCTGGCTATTCTGTGTTTTGTGTTTTGTATCCATGAATGTGGACACAAATCTGTAAGCTAAAAATTATACTGGAGAAGGAAATAATGCAGTGTTACAGAAGAGGGAGGGTACAGTGTACTAGAATTACATTCCCTTCTGTAAGAATTTATTACTATAATCCTTGTATAACTTGAAAGTGGGTTTTCTAACAGGAAGTAACATATCTGGTCAAATATGTTTTAGGCCTAATTAAATAAGGATTTTAGGTGCTAGAAATTAACTTTCCCCAGGTAAAATTGATAGAAGTATCAAGTGTACATTTGTCAACTTTGTGGGCCTTGAACCATGTCCACTTTTCATTCCCACTGATCACTTGAGCCCTCTGGTAATTGTCCATGCTAACCGTAGAGCATCTTAAACTTCTGTGGAGTGGGCTGCTACTTTTCCGATCCATATTCTAGGCAGTCGTTTTCTTTGCCAACTCCAGCTGGAAACTGCTCTGCTTTGTTTTCACTCTTCCAGAAATTGTTTAAACTACTTTTCAACTGATGACTCTCATCTCTCTCAGAGTTTTATTTGGTGGAGTAGATACATTTACTTGAGCAGGTTAAAAATTATGAAAAGCAAAGACAATGTTGCCTATTTAATCCACTTTGTTTCTTTACATCTTGGACTTTCCATTCTAAAATCTTGAAACTGAAGTATAATGTTTTTAAGTGACTCATAATCTGTAATCTTTCTATTAATAAATATGTAAATTTATTTGAAATGGCAGCAATGTCTTATCAAAGAAAGCTGATTTGTAGTTTTGAAACTGGGATGAAAGAAGAGGAAAGGATTAACAATTTATGGATTTTGGAGAAAAAACCTTTAAATATTTGGATTGAATGATTCTTCATTTAAAAAAAAAACACAAAACAAAAGCAGAAAGAAAAGTCTCTATTTGTAAAGCTGCCATATGACCCAGCAGCTCCATTCTCTGGTATATTGCCAAGAGATTGGAAAGCATTAATACAAATAGGCACATAGATACCAATGTTCATAGTAGCACTAGTCACAATAGCCAAAATGTTAAAACAATCCAAGTACCTATCAATCAACACACTGATATAAAAGATGTATAATTTACATGCAATGGAATATTGCTCTGCTATAAATAGAGGTTTGAATGCATGCCACCACATGTATTAGGCTGAATTAAATAAACATTATTCTGAATGAAATATGCCAATCACTGGAGTGCAAATATTTTATTATTTCACTATATAAAGTACCTAGAATAAGTAAATATTTAGAGATAAGAGTTTACTAGTGGTTACCATGTGTGAACAGGGGGAGTAAATCGGTGAAATTATTGTTTAGAAGGCATTGTTTTACACTTTCAATCTACGCTCCCATTTCCTTGTGGACAGTAAGCACAGGAATCTGCAGAGGAGATGCTGATGAGATCACAGAACATAAGTCCTTTGGGACATGAACTTTTGCTTTTTCTTTTATGATGCTGCTGCTCCTAATCTATTTATTTTATTTATATCACATGCTTAGAATTACAAAATATTAAATTAGTGGCTACAGAATTCTTATTTTTATTGATGATAAAGAGACAGCATTACTGGTAATAATTTTGGCTTAATAACTGGAATAGAAGGACCTATTTTAACAGCAATTATTATGCACATAAATAAGCCTCACAGTTCTTAACTAACTAGTATAATGTATAGATCAACAACATGTACTTCATACTCTGCTGATGATCCTTTTATTAGAAAGAAAAAAAAATAAAATTTCTGGTTCCACAACCCAGTAACTGTCTAAGCATCTAAAAAAGACAACGTTTTAAAGCCTCAGTTTTCTTATATGAAATACTAGAATAATTGTATCAGATCTATCTGCATCACAGAGTGGATGAGCATGTGAATATTTTAGCTGTTATGGAAAAACTCTTGAGTTAGCTCAAATCTTTATTCCAGCCTCCAAAGCTTCTTTTCTTTCTTTCTTCTTTTTTTCTTTTTTGACCCTGACCCTGACCCACAGCTTCTTAATAGTATTTATTCTCTTTTCATTTACCTCCACCCCCTTCTTGTATTTCTAGATATTTTTGCATGGTAACAACTTGAATAGTCTACACCAACTCATTCATCCTGAGATCCTGCCGTCTGAGTTTGGAGGAATGCTGCCGCCTTATGACATGGGCACATGGGCCAGAACACTGCTAGACCATGAATATGACGATGACAGTGAATACAATGTGGACTCCTACAGCATGCCTGTGAAGGAGGTAGAAAAGGAACTCTCTCCCAAGTCTATGAAGAGGTATGCGAGAGGGAGATTGGAAAAACGCTGGGGGTAAAAAGGGAAAGGGTACATACAGCCTCATTCTAAATCTCTTGTTATTGTTAGATGTCTTTGAGTTGACGACGACTCATAGCAACCCTATGAATAGAATAACAGATCGGAACCTTGCCCTATGCTCTTTCACCTTCATGATCTCTGTCATGCTCAAATCTGTTGAATAGTCACCGTGTCAATCCTAGTTTAAATCTAGGGTTTGTATTTTTTTTTTAATTGATATGTGGTGAGATTTTAAAGCTTTTCATACACCCATGACTTAATGTTTAGGAATTATGAGTCAGAGATAAAGTCATCTGAGGTAACCTTATGTTAGTGTTCTTCCATATCCCAGTCTAGCAGTATCTTCAGAAATCACTAAATGTAGTAATTGTTTTAAAGCTTTTTTTTCTGAGAAGCCAAAGATTCTGGTGGGCACCTCAGGATAAGCAAGTGGGGAGAGAACACTCTTCATCTCCAATGCAGTAAGAACAACTCTCCTTTTATTTTAAGCAATTTGACTTCTGTGTAGACTGTTCTTTGAAGAAAAAGGTTTATGGCAAGCACCCTATCATGTACACACATAATTCAGAACATTGCATTCAAATTTTGAATTCCTTTTCTTTTATAGAATGTGCACCAAGTCTCTGTTCAAATGTCTGGCCATTCCTGGAACAAAATGCTCCCTTTCTTAGAGCTTTAATCAGTATAAATTTCATTGCTGAGTCATAGTTTGACTCTGCTTTGATACTCAGGTTGTTGTATACCACTTTTCTTCCAACAAAATATTATTTATTGAACATTCACCATGAAATAGGTCTTTTTAAGGTGTTTTAGATCCCATATAATGTGGAATGTGGCATTTAGACCAGTAATGATGATTGTGTGGTTACCAAACAGACAAATGCATAATTGGTCCTGGGATTACATTCTGACTCTTGATATGCCATCTGTAACGAATAAAAACTCAAATACGTAGGCTTTCCAAACTCCACGAACAAGAACAGATATTCCCTGGTGGTTTTCCCATACACTAAAATACAATAATCAGATTTCCATCAAATATCTTATTTAACTCAGGGAATACCCAACGATATCTCATATGGCATTCCAACCACTGTCCTAATCATGTTGTGGTTAGTCTCCTAACTTAAGTTTAATGACGCCTCTCAAAAGGTTCTGTTAAGTTCTTAAAATTTTATGCAAAATTGCAAGTGTATGTTCATGAATGTGTTTTCTGTGTATTTTTCTAGGAAGAAGCAATTTTACCAAATTTTCATAGTGTTTTCCAAGGCAAAAATGGCTAAACATAACTAACTGCTTAAGATGGTATTCTTTAAAAAGATAATAGTACTCATAAAAATACTATAATTGTAATAATTATAGCTACAATTTACAAAGTATTTGATAGAAGCAAGTCACTAGGTGCCTTTTAAAAATTGTATTGTTGGCGAGCTCTGGTGGCCTAGTGGCAGAAACTGCACCGCAATCCCAGAGATGTTAGGTTCGAATCCACCAGATGCTCTGCTGAAGAAGGAGGGACAATCTCCTCCTGTACCAGTCAGATCTGATTTGACGGTACACACATTAAAAAAAAAAGTAATAAAAAATTAAAAAAAAAAGGATTGTTAAAAAATGTATTGTTTTTCTTTTTGCATTAATTTATCATAGCAATCCTTTTAAGCAAATGATATTTTTTTATTCTCTAAATTACATAGTCAGCATATGCTATTGGTGTTGTTATAAAGTGTTGAGTTGGTATCTACTCATAGCTGACCCTCCCGCAGGCTTTTGGAGGGGATATATTGCATTTGAAGATATTGCCCATCTTTCCCCTCCAGAGCGTCTGGTGGATTCAAATTCCGTGTGTTTTGGTTAGCAGTGAAACTTCTTACCACTGAGCCACAGGAGTAGTACAGTATTGCAATCAGAGAAGTATAGATTCTGGAACGTGTTGATATGAAGTTTCTATTTACTTTTCATGGAAGTGGAACACAGAATTACATTCCTCTGGAAATGAGCTTAACAGACATTTGAGATTCCGCTCATAGACATCCCTATAACTTCCTTTTTTCTAGTTGATAATATTGATTTCTTTAAATCACTCCTGTGTGAAATGCATATTCTTAGAGCTAATTTATTTCCTTATCCCCTGTAAACTCAGCCACACTACCATCATCTGCATTCTACTGACCTTAGCTTTCCCCAGGATCTCCAAGTGTCTCTTTCCCTCCTTCTTTACCCTGTAGACTAGCAGATATGGCACCAGAACCAGAATCTTCTCACTGGGAATCAGAGAGGAGGAGGAACAGCTGCAAAGAGACACTACTGATTGGAGCTTGGAATGTGAGAAGTATGAATGTAGGAAAATTGGACAGTGTTAAGGAAGAAATGGTATGCATAAATATTAACATACTAGGCATTGGTAAAATGAAATGGGTTGGCATAGGCATTTGGGACAGATATATGATCTACTATGCTGGAGATGAGAAGGTGAGGAAAAGTGGTTATGATTTCATAGTTAAAAAAAGACCATATGTAGATTCATTTTGAAATACAATGTTGTGAGTGAAAGAATAATATCCACATGCATACAAGGAAGGTCTGCTAATACTACTATAATTCAAATAACTGCACTAACAGCCAAGGCCAAAGAGGAGGAAATAGATGTCTTCCACCAACTTTTGCAGTTGGAAATGGATCAAACATGAAACCAGGTTACTTTGGTAATAATAAGTGATTGGAATGCAAAAGTTTGGAATAAGTAAGAATGATCAGTAGTCAGAAGGCATGGACTTGGTGATGGGAATGAACCTGGAGACAGGATGGTAGAATTCTGTACAATCAATGACCTATTCATTAAAAACACCTTTTATGAGAAACATAGTGACTACACACGTGGACTTCACTTTATGCTCTTTGCGGGAATCAGCTTGAGTTCATTTGTGAAAGAAATTACTGGAAAAGCTCAGTTTTAACTGTGAAAACTAGGCCAGGTGCTGATTTTGGAACAGACCATTAACAACTCATATGCTTGATTTCACATGCAAGCAAGATTCTA